AGTTGATTATATTTAATCCTTCTTCATATGGCTCAGTGGCGCCGTCTTTCTGAGCCTTGGTAATATGCGGTATATAATAGAATGGGTCAAGTTTAGGTTCACTTGGGTGTCGTCATTCTGCTCAGAACACGTGGAACAAATTCAAAACAAAAACACTCGTTTCGGTTGCACTTTGGCTTGATGAGTTCTAGGTTTTTACTTAGCCAGGAATGCACGAATTGGGGGTGAAATACTATTATGTCCATAGTTTATGATAAAATATCTTTATTTTAACACCGCTTCGGCACTGTCAGTCTGCAAGTACGTGTCCTAGTGAGACTAGAAACTTCACTGTCAAGAAATACCTAACTGTAGGCGAGGCTTACAGTGTTGTAGATTAAATCAAATACTAGAGGAAACCAAGACCTTTCTTCATTAGTGAGCATGGTTTGTTTAAATAAATGCTCTGGATCACTAGCTAACGATCCGACAATACACAGGACAAAGATGAAGCGCCGACCTCAAGTATATATCCCGACATGATCAGAGATCAAAAGTGCAGCGTATCCTGCCCGGGCCGTCAGGACATCATGCCACAAACGCGCGACAAGCGAACGATCAAGGTCATGGCCCCCTGTTCACACAGTCTTTATGCTGATTGGCCACCCATCAGCCTATGACAGTCCCCCTTGCCATATACCCGGCCGTTTCCACAAGCCTCCTCACTTGTGCTGTCTATCGTACTCAGTACAAGTCCTATTTCCAATTACCCTTCTGTTTTGCATACATAACATTGGCAACGCAGCCTAACGAACATGTCTTCATTGCTGCCTACACCGCTACCTTTTTGGCCAGAGAACACCCCGAAGCCCTCAAATGACTCGTGGTTGCAATGAAGGAAGTCATTTGAGGGTTATATTGAACTACTCCCGATTTTGTCACCCACGATTGTACTAGACGTCCCATCTAAGTTAAAACTCCTCCGGACGAATCTCGGAGAGTTGGGACAACGATATTTCGATGCCCTCAATCTACAAAAGGCTATAGATCTCCAAACAGCCTTCTCAAAACTCGAGTCAGCGTGGGGAGGAAAGGACAACGTCTTTCTCAGTCGCTATCGGTTTTGTCAAATGCGTCAAGAATCCAATCAATGTGTCAGTGATTTTATTACTAATCTGACTCTGGCCATTCAGAACTGTGGGTATAAAGAGATCAAGGCAGACAACTTCGAGCACGCAATGCTCGTTCAGCAGTTGATCGTCGGTCTACGCGATGAAAAAGCTCGGGAAAATCTCTTATCAGAGAAGAAGGATTTGTCATGGGAGAAAGCCTGTGATATTGCCAGTCATCAGGAGCGCGTGCGGCAAAACCTTCAGCAGCTGAATCAGTCAAACGATGGAGTGATAGCATCCTTGGAATCGGAAATGGCTGTCTCCCTGGTCAACACTGCTGTGTCTTCACCTAGACAGCGACCCTCAGCTCCCTCAAAACAACTACCATCATGCTACCGTTGTGGCCAGCATCATATCAGGTGGTCAGACTGTAGACACCAGAAGACGGTATGCCAGTTTTGCAAGAAAGTCGGCCACATCGAACGAGTGTGTTTCTCCAAAAGACGAGCGAATAGTAACACGCATGCGACCTACCCTAGTCCAGCTGGGGATGGTGAGGCGATACTCCGAATGTTTTCGGCCAACGCGCCACTCCAATCCCCCTACACCATAACGCTTCCGGTTGATCACCATCCCGTGAAGTTTGAAATCGACACTGGCTCAGCTGTTACTCTCATCAATGAGGCCTCTCTTCAGAAAGTACCCTCCCTCCTACCGGCTAGCTCAACATTCCGTAGTTACACTGGATAGAACGTAGACGTTCGAGGGGTCTTTACAGCCGAAGTCGAACATGATGGAGAACTTCATTACTTGCCGGTTCATGTGGTAAGAGGAAGCCAGCAACCAAATCTCCTTGGACGAAATTGGATTAAATTTGTGCCTTCTGAGCTATCCTATGTACATCGGATTGGTGTAAATCCGGCTTTAGATTCAATTTTGGTAAATCATAAGGATCTATTTCGTGACGATTCCGCTACCCACTACCGCGGTCCACCTGTTAAGTTTCAGTTTCAGTCAGATTTCCGGCCCCGGTTCTTCAAAGCTCGTACAGTCCCCTATGCAGTCGCACCGAAGGTCGAAGAAGAGCTGGATCGCCTATAGAAAGCGGATATTATTGAGCCCGTGCAATATTCGAATTGGGCAGCTCCAATAGTTCCTGTTCTTAAAACCGATGGTTCTGTGCGTATCTGTGGCGACTACAAGCTGACAATCAACTCAGCAACTAAACTGAACCCTTATCCTCCCCCGCGCATCGAGGATCTGTACGCATCTCTCTCGGGTGGTCATCAATTTACAACTTTGGACCTAAAGCATGCCTACAACCAAGTCGTCCTAGATACTGAATCCCGAGACGCCACCACCATCAATACGCATCGGGGTTTATTTCGATATAAAAGACTACCATTTGGAGTAAGTTCGGCTCCCGGTTTATTTCAATGCTTGATTGATAATCTCGTGAAGGATATACCTCCCGTTTGCGCATATCTTGACGATATATTAGTTACCGGCCCATCTGAAAATAGTCATCTAGAGACTCTAAACATCGTGTTAGGACGTTTAGAGGACGCCGGTTTTAAACTCAGGAAAGATAAGTGCACTTTCCTTGCCGACTCGGTAGAATACCTGGGCTTCAGGGTGGATAAAACTGGCCTCCATCCACTCGAACATAAGCTCAAAGCCTTGAAGATGGCGCCGCGCCCCAACAATACTAGTCAATTGCGTTCATTCTTGGGGTTGGTTACCCACTTTAGTCGCTTTATGAATCAATCGGCTACAATTCTCAAGCCTCTGTATCGACTACTTGAAAAGAATTGTGGCTGGCACTGGTCGGAGGTTGAACAAAGTGCTTTCGAACAGGCAAAGGCGGCTCTTACCTCCTTATCTGTCCTAGTTCACTATGACCCCGAAAAGCCTATCATACTGAAATGTGATGCGTCTCCGTACGGCGTAGGTGCGGTTTTCATGCATCGAATGCCTTCGGGTTCGGACATGCCGATTGGTTTTGCATCAAGAACCATGTCACAGGCGGAAACCAACTATTCGCAACTAGACAAAGAGGCCTTAGCAATAATGTTTGGCCTACATCGGTTCCACCTGTATCTTTTTGGCCGACACTTTGAAATTCACACTGATCACAAACCCCTCTTAGGTTTGCTGGGAGAAAAACGAGGGATACAACAGATGTCCTCGCCAAGAATGCAACGATGGGCACTCACTTTATCTGCTTACACGTATGCAATGAAATACGTTACAGGTAGTGCAAACGTAGTGGCTGACGCCTTGAGTAGGCTTCCTATCGTGGACGATTGCATTAACGGGGCACCTGTTTTTGAGACCGTGAATCTTTTGCAGAATCTAGTCAACGCGCCTGTAACCTGTCAACAAATTCGACAGTGGACATCGAGAGACCCTCTCCTAAGTCGGGTAAAAAGAGCCTTACAATCTGGCTGGCCGTCCTCTGCCTCCTCTGATTTTCAACCATTCCCTAGTAGCAAACTATATCGAGACGATATCTATTAGATATCTATTTTTCGAGATACCTATATCGACTATATATCGATTTTGTCCGCGGTCTAGATATCGACTAGATATCTATTTTTCGAGATACTTCGAAATTGGCGATAGGGACACGTCAGGCCATGCGCATGATGCGGTTTCTTCTTCTTACACCCATGTTTATTGAATCAAAAAATAATGTTAAAAGGTTTAATACATAGAAGCATCTTGCGTGGATGATGGTCCATAACTTGTTGAACATTCTGGGTTGTTGTCTGAAAAACAGTCTTTTGTTTCCTTGGGACGTAGCTGTCCAGCGACCTTTTCAGGCCCTTGGTAAAAGCAGACTGAAGGTGAAGACTTCACTTCACGAAGTCGTCCACATTGTGCCCACCAAGGCATGTGAGGTAGGAGGTCTAACGCAAGAGGGAGTTATAAATTGGGTAGCCCACCAATTGGTTGCGGAAGCTATTGTCCAGTAGTAGGAAATAACCTTCCTGTGGCTCTCAATGACATCGATTTTGGACAGCAGCGTTGCCATTTGCTTACATCCCTGATAGCATTATGCTCGAAAGTCATCGGCATTCTCCTGTGGCTTCTGAGAGTTATAACGGCGTTATTTACCATCGCTTACTGGAAATCCTCGTTTCCATACCTCTTAATCCGACGTAATCGTGTTCTCCGGGATTCCTGCCTAAACATGGTTAACATGTAACAGTATCAAACAAGAGATATAAATGAAGAATGGCAGGTAAGTGCAAGGACTGTCAACTCACGCGTTCCACGCCGCTCACGCGAAATAATGGCGCGCCAGCGTGTGCGCGCAATCAATAAACGACCAAGGAACGGCAACCAATGAAAAGCCGGATTGCATGAGCGAGGTGGCCAATTACGTGACAGACATACTTATCTCGATAAATCGCTATTAACCGTATATCGACTCGATACCGGTTGCTACTAGGGTTCTTCAGCCGTCATAACCAGTTAAGTCTACAAGACGGATGCATACTATGGGGCAATCGTGTAGTTGTGCCACCACAAGGCCGACGGGCCATCTTCAGAGACCTGCATAATGCTCATCCTGGTACAGTTAGAATGAAAGCTCTCGCCCGCAGCTATGTTTGGTGGCCTAAAATTGACGCAGATATAGAAAACGTGGTGAAAGCATGTCACGTGTGCCAAATAACACAGAAGACCTTACCGAAGGTTCCTCTGAAGCCTTGGACCTGGCCCGACTCGCCGTGGAAGAGGGTACAGGTCGATTATTTTGGGCCATTCCAAGGCCATATGGTTTTGGTGGTAGTTGACGCCCACACTAAATGGATTTATGCGATTCCGACAGGAAATTCTTTTTCCTCACTGACTGCAATCAACAAGTTGCGAACCGTCTTTTCTACTTTTGGGATACCTGAAATGGTCGTTTCAGACAATGGCCCGGCCTTTACTAGTGCAGAATTTAAAGATTTCATGGAGAAAAATGGAATTAGACATTTAACTACTGCCCCGTACCACGCTGCTTCAAATGGCCTCGCAGAGCGTGCAGTCCAGACAATAAAGCACGGACTAGCCAGACAGACAGAAGCGGACTTGGCCACCAAGTTGTCACGCTTTCTGTTCAGCTATCGCATAACACCAAACGACTCAACGGGTGCTTCGCCTGCAGAATTGATGTTCAAGCGGCAGTTGCGCACACGACTCGACCTGCTTAATCCATCAACGCAGGATAGGGTCATTGCAAAACAAACGAAGATGAAAGAACGATATGATGTGAGCACCCGACCACGAGTCGTCTCGCCCAACGAAAATGTCTACACGCGACTGGAACACGAAACGAACTGGTGTCCAGCGGTAGTTCGAAAAAGCGAGGGTCAAATAGTGGAATTAGAGTTAGAAGGTGGGAGAATTGTGCGTCGACATCTGGACCAAGTTCGCAGCCGAACGGACACAGTAAGTGGAGAATTCGGAGAGTTAGAACTGCCAGCAACCCTTGATAGGGATCCTGACATCCCGAGGACTGAGCCCCTACTTCCTGCACAGGGCACTACGCCATCCACCGAGGCTTATGTTCCACCTCCTTCTACCCCGGCCAGCACTAGCTTAGGGGCAGAGGAGCCAGTGACTGCACAAAGCGGCGCAGAGGTAGAAAATACCGCCCTGAGAAGATCGACCCGAAACCGCAAACCTGTCCAACGCTTTCAGGACGAATCTTATTAGAACATTGTCTGACAATCCACTATTACCTATACTGTTCCCCTCCCCCTCATGCTCACCACTTTAGGGTGGAGGGATGCAGCGTATCCTGCCCGGGCCGTCAGGACATCATGCCACAAACGCGTGACAAGCGAACGATCAAGGTCATGGCCCCCTGTTCACACAGTCTTTATGCTGATTGGCCAGCCATCAGCCTATGACAGTCCCCCTTGCCATATATCCGGCCGTTTCCACAAGCCTCCTCACTTGTGCTGTCTATCGTACTCAGTACACGTCCTATTTCCAATTAGCCTTCTGTTTTGCATACATAACAAAAAGCAACAGGAAATTTCTTACCGTCTTCGCCAATTTCCTCTTCCGTAACATGTACACATTCAAGGAACCGAAACTGACGACAAATTAAGCGATAATAAATTATTTTATTGAATACCCTTGAGGGCACTTTCATAGCAAGTAAAAATAAATTTTCAATAAGATTTAAAAACAGGTAGACAGATTCCGTACAATATTCAGTTCGCGATTGCAGAATAAACAGTCAGCGAGCAGTGAAAAAATGAGTGTGAATTTATTAGCTTTTAAAAAGAAAAAAACTGCCGCTCATGAAAGGGTAAATATGCGGGTCGAACAGGACTGGCCTGCATGTGGTATTGGACAGGGGATTAAAAATGGAAATTTTCAAGGCAGAACTACTAAACATGATGAGGCTATCCGCATCGAGGTGGCGAGAAAGAAGAACCTGGACGCGATCGGTCACAGTCCGATTAGAGTTCAGCCGATGAGGGGACATTAGACGCTTAGTCGTCATCACGGTGTATAGGGGAGAATGCGACCATGAGACCTCTTCGCCGACCTACAAAATTACTAGCAAATAACGAAAACAGAGATTTCCACCGTAATTGTCAGCGGATAACTTGTGGTCGAAATGAGGAGTTGACATCAAGAGGCGAGAAAATCATCGATTTGGGTTCGAAACCGCAGGAGCCAGAGTGGATTCCTGACGAGGGTCGGCGACTAGCGAAACGGGGACGGCTTAGAGTGTGTACGTCAAACTGGCCCAGCTACTTCTTTGAGATGATTTGCCAGGGGGACGTCGAGTTCTGAGAAGGATACGATGCATGAACTGAAACACTGAAAAATCGAAATTTCTAATGAGATCCTAGAAGGCGAAATCACGCAGAAGGAAAGAAACGTGAACGGATACGGTGATTTGGTGGCAGCGTCCTGAATTCCCGATGGCCCTTTCTCAATGTCGTAAAGAAAGTTGTGCGAGAAGAATGAGGAAAATAAAAGTTTAATCGAGTCAACACTCAGATAAAGGCGCAGCCTTCTCTCTTAAACATGTAGATTATCTGATGGTCTTATATTTATTGGAAGGTTAGTCCTGATGAAAGTATACCTGGAAGCGAATAAAAAGAGCGCTTAGGGATGGAGGAAGGGGGAAGAGGCATAATCAAGGAAGAATTGCGAAGATTGTGCGGGCGACTACTGGGGATAAGGACTGAAATCCGAGGGAGATTTGAACTATTATCAGAGCGAAATGCAAAGAAACCTGCTCCCAGTCTCAGAACCCACAAAAATTTTAGGTCAGTTAACTGGCATCTATCCCACTAAGGAATATTTGGATGTGCCATGCTTAGGAGTCTTCTAATAAAGTTTCTCTGAACAGTTTTAACATTTTTAACGCCTAGCCTCGTTCATTAAACCAAATGATGGACAGCAATACTCGAGAGTGGGAAGAACAAACATAATTTGATTTCAGGAAGATACAAATTGTGGGAAATAAAGCCGAAGACCTGGGCAGCCTTGGCCGTAATTCTGCCGGCGTTTTACGAGAGCTCAGGATTATTGGTGTGGCTTAAACCTAAATCCTTGATAGGGGCATATTCAGTCATAGGTGTGACTTGAAAGACTACCGGCTGGGGTAGCCCAGCAGATCCAAAATAAATATAGCTGCAATTTGATGGAGAGAAGTCCATTCACAAATTTGAGATTCACTGCGGAAGAGCAAGCAAATCAGCATGGATTTGCTCCAGGTAATGTTGGGTAGTGGATGAATATGCGCATTGGAGAACAACAGCATCAATAACAGATTGAGAATGTTTAACTGCTGACAAGATATAATAAATGTAACTTGTAGGACACCAGTACAATATGGCTTAAATTGGAAAATGAACATCCCACTAAAATATTTTATTCAGGAGTAGACATGTCACCCGAAAAACCTTTAAGGTGGACCCCGCGTCTTTCATTTTATACGAAAGGCTAGACTTTTTCCATGTGCGAATGGAAACACGGGATGTCACGTGCGAGATGGCGCCGGTTTATGAGTGCAGCCGCGACATTGTTAAGCTGGACAAGAGGCGCCCCCTATCGAGCTGGAGGGATGGACATACGTTAATGGCCCTTCTGCAGATTACTACCGTTGTCGTGACCGTTAACTGACAGTCAGACGTTGGAAAATGGGGCATTGGCGCGACTCTTACAAGGTCCTGGGGAGAAGTACAATTCTCACAGGGAATAAAAACGCTTCATTGTCAGCGAAGCCTGCAAGGGCTCCAGGTTGAGTCTCAAGGTGCAAATGGGCACGCACGCACGCCCGTAACATGATCGATGAGCGCTCTTTCAGCAATGTTCTCGGTATTCGCGCTATTGCTGAGACAGATTCACCTGCGATGGAATAGCCACTCGGTGAGGATGTATGACGAACGACTGCCCCGGCGGACGCTTACGATAACGTCGCGATGGCTGCTGGCAGACAAAGTGGATAAAACGGACGTAACAAGAACAACCTGAGGACCTGTAAATCTATGCTTAGACCTGGGAAGCCCTCAGGCAATACAAGCAGAGGCGGAATATTGTCATAAATAGTGGTGTAGCTATCATGGGCGTTAATTGCATCGCCACTGCCAAGGTGAAAGGGTATCCTCGCAAGACTCAAATGACGGGAGAAAACGACGCCAGCACCGTGACCCTGTCATTGTGCCCATTTAGTCAAAGGACATTCAGGGCACTGACTGGCCTCGTCGGAAATTTCCGGACTCAGGGCAATGTCAATAGAAGCGAAGAGACGAGTCCCAGGAAGTAGTCTTGAAGAAGGGGGGAGTCGTGAATGTTCATAGGTATGCGGTAGCATGCCTACTGCATCCGATAAATACCGCAGCCCCTTGTGCAACAACCACCTGTTTCTACTTTTTTGTCTCTGATGATGGATTCAAGTAGGAATCCAAAACGTCAGGCTAATAAAGCCGTTGTCCCGGCGATCGGGTCTCCTTCTTCAGAGCAATGTCAGCACAACCGGCCGGTCCCCACACCGTCATCAACGCCACCGTTAAGCAAATTTTCAAACTGCCCCCCCCCCGTTCACCATCATCGTCCTTCCCACCGAAAAGATTTACTCAGTTTCAACCTGCCCAACTGCGACTGCATTTCTGAATCACGAATCGGTCTGCCCGGTCACTTGATAGTCAACGACATTGTAACTAGCGTCTGGAGTCAAGATATGCGTTACTCGCACACGCCTCATTCACCCTCAGTGCCTCAGGGCATTCTGACACTTTATGGACCTATCTGGTCGTATGTTCTTTCAAGAGGATCTCCAGTTAAACGATAGAGTTCAACATGGTCGACCACACGCATACATAAGACAGTTAGCAACAGAAAGTTCCACAGCACTCATGCAGAATACATTCGATGTGATTTGCCAGTGTGGATATGACGGCTGTAACATCATGTTCAGGACAATACCACGTAACTCTGTACGGTCCATAAAAACGAAGGCCGCTTTCATACACGCAGACCAGCGGAGGAAGACCGCCAGGAAAACGACCGATTAAAGCTCTCCACACTTTCATTCGAGGTATCCCTCAGGATATTTTGGCTTGGTTTCCGCTCGCACGGCCTACCGATAGCTCTGTTACGCAACAAAACTGGAGTGCTTCATGTCCAGCTTCACTAAGACGCTGCTGCACTCATAAACCGGCGCCATCTCACACGTGTCGATTGGCGTAGTTTGTCACCCGCGGACCCTCGTGATCATGCGCCCCGACTCAGCTCATGGACCAATCAATCGCATGCCCAACACTCAGCTAGCCACTTGCACATGCTGGCACGCAAATGTCAGACACGCGTAAGCAGCACACCTTGTGCCTGTGCTCACGCGCTCTTCAAGGGACATCTTGTTCTGGCCCACAAGCGAAGTACAAGCTCATGGCAGCCTATCCTGCGCACAGAATAAATCAACATTCACAGTTCTCTGACCTGTGTCATTAGACGGGTCTGATGAGAGTTCATCAAAAAACAAACGCTTGTTCGCAAAATAGGCTTCGGAATCCTTCTATGGGAATGTCCCCGATGGCAAACCTGTCCAAGGATTTCGCTGTGTTGAAGGCACTTAGTGGATATTTAAGTTTTAGGACCAAACTTGTGGAGACGAAAGAACTGCCAAGTTCATCAGGGACTTATCGAGAGAAGGGGGATATGTGCACAATGCAGCTATTACCACCAAACCTCTGAGAATACACGTTAAGAATAAAGGGAGAAAGAAAACGGAAGAATCAGAGCGTCAGTGGGACAACGCACAGCTGTTTTCAACACTCTGAGAGAGGAACGAAAACAAGAATTTGGAAGGTATACGAAGTAAATGTGAAAAGGCATGATTGTATTCGTCTTCTTAAATGTTACAATAAGATTCGGATCCGTTCGTAGGTAGCCGTCCTCTTATAACACTCGGCTAGACGGGAGTACGGTATAATACCTTTACCATATGGAATTCATACTACTCGTAGTACTACTTGTTTGTAGAATGGGCATTACGTGGTTATTCCACAGTAGTTGATTGTCTTCGACTCAAATGTTCATTGACATTTCGTTTCTGACCCTAAAAAGTCATGTCCCGGAAATTTAACTCCAAGTCCTGCACTGATTAATTTCTGAAATTATTCACATAATTAAAACAGTACTTTTTGGCCCCATGTTCTGCGTCGCTTTAATGAACTGATCGGACT